TATATATATATATATATATATATATATATATATATATATATATATATATATATACATACACCCCTTGTCTTCTTTTAAAAAAGACGCAGTTCCAGTTGGTGTTGATTGTCTCGTCTCTACAGATTTCAAGTGATATCAATGGTCTTTGTTTTTGTTTCTTCAGAGGCAAATTAGTTAGTTTCATCAGCAGTACTCTTTCAGTTTTTAAAGACAGACCTTAGTCAAACTTATTTAGTTAGTAAGTTTACAGTAATATCACTACAATACTATGGACTGAAAATCCTCCTTTTCCACAGAGCTCTCAGATCCGCTGTAAATGCTGCTTTTTGAATCGCTGTGTGCCATATATCAAAAGTAGAAGAAGCTGCGTGAATCTTTTCTTTATTTAATTAGCATTGCTAGCATTGCTAATGTACCACTTCAACTATAATTTCAATGCTTTTTAAAAAACACGATTCATTACTGGTTTAGCTTGAAATGCATCCATTAAATACAGCCAGTTTTCCCAAAGCAAAAGAAGTATTTGATCATTTTGGAGAGATGCTAATGGTCTAATCCGATTCAATGATCCATGCTAAGCTAAGCTAAAAGTGCTTTAGTTTGACCCTGAGATCGTCTAAATAGATTCAACAATGGTAAAACTCTTGGGGAGCTGTAAAATGAGCCTGTTTTCAAAGGATAAAGGAGATAAATGTCTGTAAATGTCACGTATATTCTAGTCACGCAGTAACAAAATATTATTACAACACAACACTTCCATGTCCATTAAATCCAGCCAGTTTTCCAAAGCACTTCACAAAAATATATATATATATATATATATAAACTATCCGCGCTTCCTGTTTAGCAACATTAAAATATAACATCCAAAGTCCAGGACAGACATATATTTTTCATGTATCAGTCTCTTTCCATGAGCGCAGGAGTCACGCTCGCCTGAATTACTGCTACCACACTGTTTTTCTAGAGTTGAGGGAAAACCACTGGAGCGCTGACAATCGCTGTTTCTGGAGTTATTTTTAGATATCTGACTTCCTCAAAACTCAATGTGCTTGGCGTGCGGGACGATAATCTCATAAAAATATCATACTGTTCAGGACAAGACGCACACGCTGCCCTCCGCTGGTTTGGCAAGATCAGCATCAACTCTGAGTGAACTGATCCAAGGATAAATCGCAGCCTTTACCGGTTATCTGGTGGTTGATCTGGGGTCTTGTTGACTGACCTTATCCTGCAATACTGAAGCGCGCTCATTTTGTTTTAGAATGTCCGATTCAGTTGCTTATGGGAGAAATTACTATAAATCAGAGAAAATGGTCAAACTTGCTCTACAAACAAGTGTTTTTATGACTATATACAGCAAGGAAAATTAGTATTGAACACGACTCCATTTTTCTCACAAAACATATTTCCCAGCATGTTGACAACCAAAGAAATCCACATATACAAAGAAAACTAATCTATTTAATTTACAAATGAAGTTCTGTATAATAAAATGAATGCAGAGGAAAAGTATTGAACACATGAAGAAAGGAAGGTAGTGAAATCCCAGACAGCAGCTGAAATATCTCAGTAGTTCTTCAGCAAGCCTCTGCCCTTCCTCAGTGGAAATGAAACCAGGGTGGACATTTCAGCAAGACAATGATCCAAAACACAGCCAAGGAGACTCTCAAATGCTTTCAGAGAAAGAAAATCAAGCTGTAGAATGGCCCAGCCAAACACCTGATCTCAAACCAATACAAAATAAGATCAGATTTGATAAACAAGACCCACAGCAGCATCAAGATTTTAATATATATTTTAAAAATGTTTGTGTTGTTTGGGTTTTTACAAAAATCTGGTTTAATTCCCGACAGTTCCTTTCAAATATTATTCTCCAAGAAAAAAACACAACGTGCTCAATACTTAATTTCCCTGCTGTAAAGAGTAGAATAATATATTAAGAAAATATCAGTCAAGCATTATAATATTATCGTGCTAACGATCATTTTGCGATATATTGTGCAGCCCTAGCCAAAAGTCTTCAAAGGATGCGCTTCATATTAATCAAACAGAACAGCAAACACATATGCTGTGTCTGAGAGTATATTTGCTTATACGATGCTATCATATCCCTAAATAAAAATCAGACCTCATGTTAATTCATTAAAGAGCCATTTAAAACTCAATATTCAGTAAAAGCAACATGGATATGATGATCCCCACCATTACTGAGATTAATAAGCGATAAACAGACGTGAATTCTTCATTAAACGTTTAATCAAGAACCACATCTACGCTCTCAGAGCAGTGGAGTAATCTGAGATGCTATTATCTAATCTACAGCAGTCAAGACTACAAACACGCCGTTTCAGCAGACGAATAAACCCAGCCGAGTGTCTGAAGGACACATGATACACACACACACACACACACCGTCTGATCAGCAGCGTCTGGACCTCTCGGCGGAGGGAAACCAAACCTATTCCCACACCATACAATCCTGCAGGAAAAACAAAACTGCAAACACTCTTCAAGAAACACCACGTCTAATTAAAAAGAAACCCAGCTCTGAAACACGACTGCTGAAGCTAATATTACATTTTGAACTAAATTTTGCTCTCAAATAAAACCCGACTGCTGTCAAATTTTACTGTTAGCATAAACACTGCTTAAACAGCTTGTCAAAGTTGCCATGAAAGTGATTGAGAGGATTATACATCTCTTCAACCAATCAATTTAGGCATTTAAAAACGCAAAATAACAAATGATCCAAATCACGTTTTATTTCCAATGTATGAAGTTTACTGCCATTGGGGAAGTGATACAGAGTTACTTTATGGAAAAGTTACCACTACAAGAAGTCATTTGTATCAATATCCATTAGTATTTTAAATGGTGAACTAAACCATGATCATTTACATTTAGTCATTTAGCAGACGCTTTTATTTAAAGCGACTTACAAATGATGACAAGGAAGCAATTTACACAACTATAAGAGCAACAATGAATAGACCAATTACCAACCTACGTCACACATGACGTCACACGGGTCCCCGGTTGCAAATAAAAAGAACAGGCTGCAAGTGATTGGTTTAACAATGGTTTGCTTTTAGTTAGTCAGTTATTTAACAACAGAGGTTTTTTAATAAATTACTTTGAATTTATTTCCGCGTATAACATACCAGTGAGTCCAAAAAATTTCGCCATTGTTATGGGAGCTATAACATCAGGAATTACTGTCCTCTTTAAAAGTAGCATTCATCTCACTCCTAAAAAAAGTGTACCTTTCTGATCCGACAGAAACATTTGTGGGTAAAATTTGTTTTTCAAACAAAAAAGATAGAAATTACAAAATTAGATCTCTTTTTATTGAAAAAGTTGCTACATTGTCCCCTGTAATCTCTTATTGGAATAATATCTATAGAGATTTTGTTGCAAAGACCATATTTTTTCCCATATCAAAATATTTTCTCACCAACAAGGTCAACAAATATTGCTACAAACTTGTCAACTGTTTTTTTTTGCAAAAAAAAAAGAAAGAAAAAAAAAAAAAAAAAGGACAGGCTGCAATGGGAAAGATGTCGTGTTTTGTGGTAGGATGCCGATATCGAGTCCAAAAATAGAAAACTTAACTTTTACCATACAACACACACTCGTTAATACAGACTGCAGACGTCTTTGGCTAAATGGGAGCTTAATGAAGTAAGGAGCTAATTAGAAATGCTGGACTCTGCAGTTCTCATGTCATATCAGGTCAGTTCACGCTTTGCTGAATCAGACACATCACTCGTTTTTGATTGCAGAAATGATTTCAGCAAAAACTTTAAACTGCTGACACTGAATTCTAAGAATGAAACGTGAAAGTTACGTTTATTAAGGTCAACTTCCCTACTGAAAAAAACAGCATAAACCAGCCTAGGCTGGTTGGCTGGTTTTAGCTGGTCGACCAGGCTGGTTTTAGAGGGGTTTTGGCCACTTCCAGGCTGGTTTCCAGCCATTTCCAGCCTGGTCTTAGCTGGTCAGGCTGGAAGATGACCAGCTAAAACCAGCTTGACCAGCCTAGCCAGGCTGGGAGCCCAGCCAAAACCAGCTATATCCAGCTTAAACCAGGCTGGTCAAGCTTGTATTTATGATTTTCTGTTGACATTAATGTGGATTCAACTTGCAAATTTAAAAGAATTATTTAACAGCTGACATCACCCAGTGTAGACAATAAAAGGATAGTTCACCTAAAAATGAACATTTACTCACCATTTAATCCCTCAAGTGGTTCTAAAACATTTTATGAGTTTCTTTATTCAGTTCAACACTAAAGTAGATATTTTAAAGAATGCTGAAACCTGTAACTATTAACTTCCATAGTCGGCGAAACCAATACTAAACATAATTCAGAAGAAAACAAAAGTCTGACGACTCAAGAAACACCATGTTTAATTAAAAAGAAACCCGGCTCTGAAACACGACTGCTGAAGTTAACATTACATTCTGAACTCACCTTTGCAAATAAAAACAATGTCTACACAGAGTTTCAGGCTTCTACTTACGATGTGTTTTTCCATTAATGTGGATTAAACTTGCATATCTGAATGAATCATGTAGACCAGGGGTGTCCAAACTCGGTCCTGGAGGGGTGGTGTCCTGCAAAGTGCAGTTCCAAACACAATCAGACACACCTGGGCTAGCTAATCCAGCTCTTACTAGGCTTTCTAGAAACATCTGTGCAGGTGTGTTGAGGCAAGCTGGAGCTAAAATCTGCAGGACACCAGCCCTCCAGTACAGAGTGTGGACATTCCTGATTTAACAGGTGACATTAAAGGGGCAGTTTGCGCCCCAAAAATCAACATTTACTCACTATTTACTGCCGCAAGTGGTTCCAAACCATTTAGTTTCTTTATTTTCTGTTGAATATAAAAGTAGATATTTTGAAGAATGCTGAAACCTGTAACTACCAACTTCAATAGTTGTGAAAAAGCAATACTAAACATAATCCAGAAAGAAAAAGAAAGCTCTGAACACTCTTCCAGAAACACCATGTTTAATTAAAAAGACCCCCGGCTCTGAAACAAGACTGCTAAAGAGTTTACAAGATAAAAAACGATAATCAGCGAGCAGACTGACGGCGGTGGGTGGGTGGCGAAGGTGAAGGACAGACGTCTTGTTTTCACGTTTGTTTCCTTTGGCATCAGCAAACATCAGACATTTGTTTCATTTCAAATTCAGCTTCCTTGTCTAAAGGATTAGCAGTCGGGCTGAAATGTGCCGATACGGAAACGCTGCCTTTGGTTTCACAGCGTCAGTCGATCCCGGCGGGACTCCAACAGCGGCTGGATGTATTTTTCTTCTAGCGTTAAAAAAAAGAAAGAAAGGCAAACACATATTATAATGACATGTTCAATCTGGGATCTGGCTCTTGAATCCTGCCAGCAGCGTACGAGCGGATGTCCTGGGAGAGCGGTGTGGGATTTATGCATGGTTGGGTTTTTAGGTGTAGAGTCGGATGGTTGCGTCGGCCCCGGAGGAAAACACCCAGGGTTGAGTCGGGTGAAAGGTCACGTCCAGGACCCCGAGGTCATGAGTGATGCTGTGACCCTTCAAAACCTTGACCGGGACAATCAGAGGATTCTGGAGCAGGTCACTGATGGGTAAACACACACACACACACACACACACACACACATTGGTAGGGTTAGCAGAGCTCATAACTGTCTCTCAGTAATGATTTTGGCTGTAATAATGGATGTTGAATTGTGTTCTGTCAGTGGAGGTTTCTTCAACTCTGGACGCTTTCGTGAATCAGCAGTTGATTTTTATTGAAGCAAGCAGACGCTGTATTTTAGTGTATGACGGTTGTATTAAAACCACATTTGAAGCATTTTACAATGGATTGATTCATGGCTAAACGTTTCCTTCTTTAAGGTGTAGAAGTTTATATTAGTGAACATTTTTACACAGAATAATTGTTATTAAATGATTTAATAATGAACGGAAATATTTTGGAGGAATTAAAAGATTTTACAGCTTGATTTAAGAACAAATAATTATTATATTATAAAATGTATTAGATTTAATCTTTTTCAATTGCTTAGGGTTTTATTTGAAATAGAATATGAAGACTAATTTTTGTAATATTTATTTTTTTTAATAACTGTTAAATATATAGAATTTAACTATTAAAAGCTTTTTAAATTTTTTTAATGTAGACATTTAATTTAAAGAGCGGCATGGGGGCTCAGTGGTTAGCACTATAGCCTAAATATTAATTGAATTGAATAATAATATATATTCCATAAACTTCTATGAAATTAGTTGACATTTTTTAATAAATGAACAGATTTAATGCAGAGATAATTCAATGACATTATACAAATGTATATTTTAATATTGAAATCTTTACAAATATATATTATGCAGATTTTTTTTTTAATAAACGATTACATTTTAATACTAAAAACTAGATCTTTTATGCAGGAAATGTACAATTATTTTAATAATAAAAAGTTCAAAACAGTTTTACATGAAACGTTAATTAATTAAATGTAAAAAGGCACATATTTTACCCCGTCTGAAGCATCTTTAATAACTATACTGATATGCGGCTGTGGTGATGAATTACAGTGATTTTCTCTCTTTATTACACACATGCAGTGTTTTAAAATCGTTTCAAACTTGTAAAACTCATTCATGATGTGCAGATAATCACAGAGCTGAACAGATCTTTTAATCCTAGTTGCTTTGTGCACGTCCTGTCTTGTGAATATGATTATATGTGTTACTATGGAGTCTTGTTAGTACATGGCCGTCAATCAATTCGATGGGTGGGGAAAACCGCACTCCTACTTCACCGTTGCGGTCGGCTTAAAAATCACTGGGATTTGGATTCTACAGTATTTTAACCTCAGTATATTAAAAAAATAATAAAAATAAGTTGTGTTTCTATCACTCCAATATGACTGTGGACACACTATATAAACACACACTTCTGTCCAAACAGCTGACAAAAGAGAATTTTCATCATAGGTGCCATATAACAGTCTTTTATTTTAATAAAATAAAGAGTTTTTACACTTTTATTTTATAATGATACTTGATTTTAATAATAATAAGAAAAGAGTTTTACTATTAAAATATTTTTTCTAATTTAAATGTACATATCTAATTTGAATAATAACATATATTCCATAAACTTCTATGAAATTAGTTGACATTTTTGATAAATGAACAGATTTAATGCAGAGATAATTCAATAACACTATACAAATGTATATTTAAATATTAAAATCTTTACAAATATATTTTATGCAGGTTTTATTTTATTTTTTAAATAAACGCTTACATTTTAATACTAAAAACTAAGTCTTATGCAGGAAATGTACATACTGTAATACTAAAAAGTTCAAAACATTTTGAGTGCATATTTTACATGAAATGTTAATTAATTAAATGTAAAAAGGCACATATTTCACCCCGTCTGAAGCATCTTTAATAACTATACTGATATGCGGCTGTGGTGATGAATTACAGTGATTTTACTCTCTTTATTACACACATGCATGGTTTTAAAATCTTTTTAAACTTGTAAAACTCATTCTTGATGTGCAGATGATCACAGAGAGCTGAACAGATCTTTTAATCTCAGTTGTTTTGTGCACGTCCTGTCTTGTGAATATGAATATATGTGTTACTATGGAGTCTTGTTAATACGCGACAGTGGGTGGGGAAACCCACACTCATACGTCACGTTGTGTTCCGCCTCAAAACGGGAGGGATTTGCATCCTATTTTAACGTCAGGAAATTTTAAAAAAGGGACTTAATGTCTTTATATCACTCCAACATGACAGTGGACACACAGTTCTGTCCAAACAGCTTACAAAAGTTACCTTGAAATATTATATAGTGTATACATTTAGGACAGAGCAATCAAGTCATTCAGTATTTCTCAATAATACCTCATTCCTTTCTCTCTCAAAAAACATTCAAACAAAATCAACAAATTGTTGCAGAACAAAAGATTGTTGCTGCTTTTTGCCAAACTAAATGAATAAAACTGATGATCCAGACATCTCTAGATTCAACATTAACACTGAACTCATAATGTGAATAATAAAACATGAGGATGAAGCACTAGTAGAGCACACTAATCTAGTCCAGCACTGAACTAGTCTATTTCAGCCCAGTCAGCCATCAGGAAAGATGATTTAAGTGGATTCATCTCCGTCTGAGAGCACTGAAGGTCATAAAGAGTGAACTGTGGAAATGTGCTGAGTGTGTGTGTGTGTGTGTGTGTGCGCGCACACTTCAACAGTCCAGACTGGGAAAGAAGCGGAAAAATAACAGACATCCCGAGATTGAGTATGAAGACATGATGAAGGCTTTTCATCCCCATCACGCCTGCCCTTCACCAGACACACATCATTAGCAGAAACACTGGACACCAGCCTGACAGGCGCACACTAGACACACACACACACAGTAAAGAGAGACGTGGTGTGTTCATCCCACTGAACACACTCCTGTACGTACACACTCTGATAAAAAAAAAAGTGTACATAAATCATTAAAAATGGCAGCTCGCAGTAGAAAAAACAAGCCAGAGCCCCCGTTTTCTCATTTAATATTCTGTTTCTCTATGAACCTCGACACAATGCCAGAAAAAAAAAACGGTTCATGCGTTCTATAGGAGATGCACGAATGAGGCCCTGAATAGGGACAATCAAAAGCAGCAGGCGGAGAGACTCAGAGAGGTCAGACTCACTTGTAGACCATGCCGTGGCAGACGATCACACTGCCGTCGTCAGAGCCGGATGCCAGCAGCGGGTAGTGGCTGTGGAAGGACACGCTCCTCAGGGCCTTCTTATGATGTCTGAAGCACACAGAGACACAACAGAGAGACGTCACCATGAGCGGCAGTTTCCTCAGACTGAACGCATGATCAAAACCTGACTCACCGGAGCACTTTATACGGTTTAGTGGACAGATCCAGATCAAACCAGGCCAGACGACAGTCGTAGCTGCCGCATATCACATTGTCACCTGTGGGAAACAAAAAAGAGCCATGTTTGACTTCCAAAGAGCGACCACTGATGCCACATTACAGGGACAGTTCACACACAATTTAAATCGCTCATCATTCACTCAACCTGTACTTGTTTCAAAGTTTTATGAGTTCTTTTTTCTGTTGAACATGAAGGAAGATATTTCGAAGAATGGTGAAAACCAGTAACCATTGACTTCCGTAGTATTTGTTGACTATGAAAGTCAATGTTTACAGGTTTTCAGCCTTCTTCAAATTATCTTCCGTGTTTTTGAAACATCTTGAGGGCAAATAAACTGAGCGAAATGTCATTTTTGGATGAACTACCCCCCTTTAAGGACATTTCTAAAACACACACTCATTTTTTATATAATACACTGTAAGAGTCTGGAGAATTAGACCTGACTTATACAGAATTATGTTCACTTATTGGTACTGTACATATAAAGATTCATACACTTATCAGTACTGAATTGTTTTTGCTCCACAGTGTACTGGGGTCTGTTCTTCGTACCTCGCTTAAATGATCTAAGATTATTTGGCAGATCCTGGATCTTTCATCTTGATAACTGATCTCTCGCTAATTTGGTTCTTCAAACAAGTTCGCGAATCAGATTAGAATGTCTGGATAAACTGATCTGAGATCGCTGCGTGTGTTGTGAAGGACAGATCTATCGATCCTCGAAATCATGATCAGCAATGCAACGATTGGCTGACGGCACAGCAGCGTAATGACATCATCTGATTAATATTCAAATTATCCATGTGTGCAAAATTACATCAAATTAGCAGTAAACGGTGTGTTAAATATGACACGCAATAACCTTCAACATCTGTTGTGAGCTGCAGGCTTTACACTTTTATGTGTCAAGAGTATTCATCATGTATTTTAATGCAAATCAGTGTTTAGAAAAGAGTTTCCTTATTATAGTAGCCGTTTTTTAATCGGTGTACAGAATAACTGGTTGTTTACAAAAGCATTTTGATATTGGTAAAGGCGTCTGCAACTTTAGTAAAGCATCAATTTAGTAAAACATACTTCATTATCTTTGCTTGACCTGAGCCGATATTATTCCTGTTTATATGAATTGAACCTGCTCCCGATCAGGCTTAAGCTAGCAGAACTGTTGCTATGACAACAACTCTCGGATCAGCTTTGAAGAAGTAAACGATCCTGGATTGTGTCAAATCGTCAATAACCAAATCCAGCTAACCGAGTAATCCACGTACGAAGAACTGACCCCTGGAAACTGTTTATAGGATCATTTGAAGAAATATAAAAGAATCGCTTTTATTTGCAAGTATTTTTAATGATTTTTGTATAATTATTATTATTGATTATTTAATGCACATAAAAATTGACATGCAAAATAATGTCAAGAAAAAAGTGCCCTCTTGATATAATGCACTATTGTCATCATTTAATACATTATAAATTTATATTAAAAAAATACATTTAAAAGATATAGTGGAGACTGATGTTTTACTTTTAGAATTCTTTGATTAAAAAAATAATAGTGCAAAATAAAAGTCCAAAATAACAGCTTTTATTAGCAATCTGCTTGTATTTTATTTGAATATTAGATGCACATAAAAATCATCAAATGTCAGCCCAAACACACACACAGTGCTCTCTCAGAATGATCAGCTTAAATCAAAATGTAATACTTTCTAAAACTAAACTAGTAAACATGTTTTGCTAAATAAGTTATCAGGGAAACATTTTACATTTATGATTCTTTGATTTAAAAAAAGAAACTTCAAAATAATAGCTTGCAAGCTCTATTCTAAACATTGTTAATGTGTTTTATATAACTCTAGGGGAGTTTTAATATGAGCCTGTAAATACAAACACAAAGCTAAAGTCAGAATTATTAGCCTCCCCGTATATTTTTTCCTCAATTTCGGTTTAACAGAGAGCAGATTTCTTTCAGCACATTTCTAATCATAATAGTTTTAATGACTCATCTCTAATAACTGGTTTATTTTATCTTTGTCATGATGACAGTAAATAATATTTGACTAGATATTCTTCAAGACACTTCTATACAGCTTAAAGTGACATTTAAAGGCTTAACTAGGTTAATTAGTGTAAAGTTAGAGTAATTAGGCAAGTCATTGTATAACGATGGTTTGTTCTGTAGAAGATCCTAAACAAATACTGCTTAAAGGGGCTAATGATATTGACCTTAAAATAGGGCTTTTATTCTAGCCGAAATAAAACAAATAAGACTTTCTCCAGAAGAAAAAATATTAAAGGAAATACTGTGAAGATTTCCTTCCCCTGTTAAACTGTTTTGTTAATGTGGTGTTTCCATTAATGCCGCACCTCCTGGATGGATGGCCATGCTGGAGATCCACTTGCAGTTGGCCATCAGCTTCTTGGTGAGCTCCTGCTTGATGAGGTTGTAGACGCGCACGTATCGCTGCGTGGCCACGAAGAAATAGGGCCTGACGGGGTGGAAGGAGACGCACTGCACCAGACCCTTGCTCTTGCGGAAGGGGTTCTGCGTCCTGCGCTTGCTCACCTGGTGGATGAGCACCTGAACACTGCTGCTGCTGTCGGGCAGCACACACGCCAGGTAATCTCCTTTAGCATGCCACGTCACCTGCCTCACCGCCTGCACAAACACAACACAAAATCAACACCAATAGAAACTCCGACTCCAATCTGGCTCAAAATCTCCAATTATCCAATGGAAACCTTACACTGCCTGACAAAAGTCTTGTCGCCTATCCAAGTTTTAGGAACAGCAAATAACTTGACTTCTAGCTGATCATTTGGTATCAGAAGTGGCTTATATGAAAGGAAAAGGCCTCTAGATTACGCTTATTTGACCAAAATAAAACATGATCATGCTTCCTCCATCTTACCCCGGACATGCTCAATAATGTTCATATCTGATGACTGGGCTGGCCAATCCTGGAGCACCTTCAGGAGCTTTGATGTGGAGGCTGTGGTATGAGAAGGAGCGCTATCCTGCTGGAGAATTGTCCCTCTGTTGTGGTTTGTAATGTAATGAGCAGCACAAATGTGTTGATGCCTCAGGCTGTTGATGTTACAAATCTCTCGCACGCCCCCATACTGAATGTAACCCCAAACCATAATTTTTCCTTCACCAAACTTGACTGATTTCTGTGAGAATCTTGCTCCATGCTGGTTCCAGTAGGTCTTGTGCAGTATTGGTGATGATTGGGATGCAGATCAACAGACGATTCATCAGAAAAATCCACCTTGACACTTTTCCGAATGATCAACTAGAAGTCAAGTTATTATTTGTTGCTCTTACAACTGGGATCGACAACAAGACTTGTGTCAGGTATGTGCATTTGCAGGTCTGTAGGAACAGAGGAATGCATGCAGGGCAGAATTAGGCCAGTGTCCTCTACTAACGCACATTGAGAAATGAGTCATCAAATATTTGGAAACACATAAAAATGAGTGAGCCCAACTCCCATCATTAAAGCCCTCAAAAACCAAGAAATGGATTGAAAAATGTCCCCTGATGGTCCTGAAGCTACTAACGCGAATCCATACAACTATCGAATATATTTTAAACGATATCCGCTAGTTAAGTGTTAGTTAAGATGTTAGTTATGACGTGTTGGTGGCGTATGGAATACTGTTTCCGGGTCCAAGCTGCCAGTCATTTATATTGAGAAAATATTAGTTTATGATCACTTTTTATTTATATCACGCATAAAGTGAATTGTATATAAAAGCATGGCGTCTCTGGGCTTGGTGCATCTAATTTATGCACATCTAATTAAAAAAAAAAAATGAGCACTTTCTGCCCATCAGATATTAGGCATGGATATATATATATTGCAATCGTGATTTTTGAAAGCATTACATCGCTTTGTAAATATTTATTATTACCATTTGATGAGTCAGTTTGATAGAGCGATTGAAGCCGGAAGCCGCTTCGCGTGATCATCAGACTTTGATTGAAGATTACCAAGACAAACACATTTGTTTCAGTTCATAATTAATTGAGATGAATTATTCGCCTTATTCAGCAAAATATACATTGTAAAGCGAGCTTAAACATCAAGCAGCAGAAGTTGTTTTGGTTTTCTCTAATGTGAATATTAAGGTGGATGGGTCATGGAAATTCAGCTTTTTACTCGATGTGAAAGTCAGGGAATGTGACGTTGGCCGGACGGAGTGGAAACCCTGCTAGACGGAGGTCAGAGGTGGAAGTCATTCTGTGGTAAATCCACACACGATTAATCCAATTACAGCCTCAAAGACGCGGCGGGACTGAATTTACTGCTGTTATTAACGCCGGCCGGGCCTCTGCCAGTCTGCCAACGCGTGCCGCTGCTTTACTTTTTCCAGTAGTTTTAATTGGACACTAGAGGCATCTTAAATTTCTTTCCATTTCAGGAAAAGGACGACCACAGGCTTCTGCGGCTTCTGCCAACAGCTAAAAGCCTCTGGCTGGAGCTCACGTGGGGGACCGGCGGACGCTCTCACAGGACAGAAGACTTTAGTTCCTATTGTTCACTGGAAAACACTGACGTGAACCGAGCAGAACGCTTCCTGCTAAGGGTTATACTGTGATGACACACATCATTCTTATGAATTCGGGAATGTGTGTAAACTAGGGTTGGGCATCTAAGCTATAATACCGATACGATACGCATCTCGATACAAAGAATACGATCCGATATATTAGCGATACATTTGTGACATTGCGATGCAACACGATACGATTCACACCCATATCACGATACAATGCGATAATTCAGCACTAACTAATTAGATCAAGTTTATGAGATGATGTAAGAAAGGATGCTGTGCCATTGAATGAGTTTGATTATTTATAAACCAAGCAAAACCAAGACTTTTTTTACAAACTGGCTTTTCTCTCAGAGCCAGAGTGTCAGTTTACAGTAGAGGGCCATTTTAGAACATATAGCACATATTATTTAAGTATTTTCAAGATAAACAGAATGTATAAGTGCAATATATATTATAAATGTATATATTTGCTGTCTTTCAACATAAAGGATTATCATTGCACAACAAGAATTGTGATTTAACTTTTCAACTATGAAAACAAGTTTTACAAAGATATATTTTGCCACTGAATATTCAAAACTTAAGATCGTGAACTAGCAGTGTTATGTTGCTTTGAAACATCACTGTCACTGTAAACAACAGGCTAATAAAAATATAAATAAATAGAAATTAACAGGAGGAGGTGTTTAAAACCTTCGTTCTCCGTGACACTAGGCTGAATATCTTTGCAGATGAACAATGCAATAGCATTCGTTATTGGCGTAGAGCGAGCAGAACTGTTGCGCATGGAGAAAACTTTCAATGCTTTTCTCACCACTTTTGGAGCTGATAGCTACAGTTGAAGCAGTGCAGGAAGCCGGGGATGCAGGAACACTGGAAGATGCTTTCACAACAACACAGAGGCGCCGCTTCAAGTGAGATATCAGATTAGTCGTACTGCCCGTGTATTTTACAGATGCGCGGCACATTTTGCAAATTGCATCTGTCCTGTCAAGTCGTCCATCCTTTTTGCAGAATCCATAATGTTGCCATACTTTAGATTTAAAACTCAGTGAGGAATAAAATGTTTGTTTTGCTTCTCGCGCTTTCTGAGGGTGCTCCACTAGCTTCATCCGCACACCTGATACACTGAGTTGTAGTGTAAGTGTACACATCCGCAAGCCCGTTGCTAAGGCTTACTTTATGTAGGTCGATTAAATTATGCGCCAAAAACAGGTTGACAACACTTGTTAATAAATAAAAAATACATTCTATGTTAAAAATATAAGTTGTATCTTGGAAAAAACGATGCATCTCGATTTGCAAAATTTCATTCATCCTCTGCTGCTCTACCGATGCACTCGCATCGTGCACGCGCATGACCGCGTATTGATACATATCGGTTAATCTTCCCATCCCTAGTGTAAACCTGCCATGACGTTCGACTTCAGCCATCGTTCCAACATAGGCGCGAACGCTCTCTATAGTCAAGTACACATCTAACAGTACAAGTACACATCTTTAAATGTACTCAAAAAGTACGTTACCCAACAGCTTCACTCAAGTAAACGTAACGAATGTAATTCGTTACTAGCCACTTCTGGCTGTGATGACATCATTCTCGTCAATAGTTTAGAACTGGTTCTCATTGGTACACAGAGTGAGCATCACGTTGTGTGTTGTGATTACCTTGGGGTGTTTGAGAACGAGGCGGTGACCCTGCTCGTGACCCTCGCCCTCTGAGACGAGCCACTGAACCGGCTGCTCCTTCACTTCCTCTGGCTCCGCGTAGGAGGAGATGAGCTGATCTGTAGCGGTGCAGAGGAGCCGATCACCCAGAGCAGGGTTCAGCAGGAGCACCGAGTCTTCACTGCACACACACACAGATCATACCTTTCTAGCTATCCATCTAAACAAACTGTAATCAATCTGTATGCCCATGTATCAACCAATCCTTACTAGCCATTCAGCTTATTATCTAATTAACCAACACAACTAAAAATAAGATGGAAAGCATACAGATGAGTGTCAATCAAACAATCCAAGCAGATAATAAGAGGAAAAGGAGGCGTGTCTTACTAGCTGACAGCAACCAAACAGATGGAAGGATTGGGATTCCAGGCCACGCCCTTCACGGCTCCGCCTACCTGCACTGTTTTCAGGCAGCGTGCAGTGCTGACCTCCCAGAAGCGCACCGTACAGTCATCAGAGCCTGTAGTCAAAAACATCAGATCATGCATTATAAAACACTCCCCAATCAGAGAGATGAGGGATGAACATCATATAACAGGTGCAAACTATTTTTTACAAGCTTCAGTGTCAGAAAAGACATGTGATGTTACAGCGTCATTATTAAAAACAACAACAACAATTTATATCACACACACACACAGTAAATGTGTAAAAATGAGTAAAGTTTGAGTAAAAATTAATATTATTGATCATAGAAGACAGTAAAGGTAACTTTGTGTTAAAACATTTTTTAAAACATTAGCAATGAACAAAGTTCTACACATTTTTTTTCCTGATTAGCTTTGTGTTTTTATCTACTTGCAATATTTTCTAAACAAAACAATTCATCATTTGTTCAGTAAATGAATAGTTTTTCAGTAAACAAAAGGCCTCTATCCTGTTTGTACAAAAATCCCTAAAATGATTTGTTTACAATATTGTACAGTTAATAACTTTGAAATATGAAATACACATACACATTGATTACTTCTATGAAATTTACATACACACAAGCGCACACAGACACATACACACACACACACACACACACACACACACACACACATATATATATATACACACACACACACACACATACATATACACACACACACACACACACGCATTCATATATATGTATATACACATACACACACATATACACACACATATATAAAATATATACATATACTTACGCACACATGCACGAATACTCTATATACGTACACGTGCATACACATACAAACAAATATATACAAGCGTGCACAGACAAATATTCAGACAAATATATACATACACATGCAAGCATATATAAACAAATATACTTTATATGCACAAACAAATACATACACACACACACACACAAATATTTACATATATATACTCAAGACATTTATATACAGACATAAATATACACACACACACACACACACACACACACAAGTATACAAATACATACATAAATAAATATATTTGTATGTATGTATGTATGTATGTATGTATGTATGTATGTATATGTACATACATACACACACACACACACACACACACACACACACACACACAATCTACATATATATATATATATATATATATATATATATATATATATATATATATATATATATATATAAAAACCACAATCTATATATATATATATATATATATATATATATATATATATATATATATATATTGGTATACATTAAAAATGATGATAATTTATGGAGTATTATTTACAGCAGCATGTTTTAGACTTTTTGTTAAATCTGTTCATTTGTAATAGTTTTTTTTTATTTCATGAAGCTCCATGTCATTTTCCAGACTCGTAATGTCAAAAATGACTTTAAACCCATGATCCGCAAACCATATCTATATCCATATAATAAAGGCGTATAATTATAACCTATTAAACTATATTTATTTTTTGCATGGCATAACACAACCTAATGCATTATTTATTTCTGCCTTTGACTGAGTGTTTGATGGGAAACCTCTTCCTCGTATCAGCCACAGAGTTCTGTAAGCTGCCCGTCAAATCCCATTTCAACTTTTATACCTGCACGCTTCATAAACGCAGAGGGAAACAGCGCGGGGCGAACGGGCCGGGCAGAGGGTGGAGTGTCACAACTCCTAAAGCCATAATCACTTTTTAAGTATTGAGCTGTGTTTGGTGACAGATATAGCAGGAGGGACGGCCTCTGCAGCGGTCACACGCCTGTCTGGGGCACACAGCTGCAGAGTGTGTGCGCGTTTGAGAGTTTAAAAATATTATTAATAACATTTGGGCAAAAATTATTGACTTAGGGGTGATTAAGACTTTTAAAAAACACTTGACAATAATGCCAACACTTAAACAACAGTTAATACAAGAAAGGAGAATTTAAAAAGTGAATAGAAAAAATAAATAAATAAATAAATACAAAAAAATTTAAAGTAAAAAAAATACATATTTTTAAAAAAATAAATAGAAATAGAAAATAAAATGCATACAAATAATAAAAATAGAATAAAAATAAATACAAAAAAATAAAGTAAAAACACAAAATTAAAATTTAATAAAAAATGAATCAAATCAAAATTGAAAAAAAAAATTCTAAAAAAATATTTAAAAAAATAAAGTAAAATTCTATATAAATACAAGCAAAAATACAAAACAAATAATAAAATAAACAAAAGATAAAGTAAATAATACATACAAATTAAAAAATTTATATAATTAAATTAAATAAAATAAACAAAAAAGTAAATATATATATATATATATATATATATATATATACACAAACACACACACACACACACACACATACAAAAATAAAATATAAATTAAATAAAAAATAAATGAAAACAAAAAGCAAAAAATAAATACATACAAAATAATAAAAAGGATAAACAAATAAGAAACTAAATTGAATTGAATTGCAGAGTGTGTGTGCGTGCGTTTGTGAGTCTGTTTGAATGTGTCTATATGTGTGTGTGTGATAGTGTCTGTCTATGTGTATTCGTCAGTCTGTGTGAGTGTGTCTTTGTGTCTATACAGTGGGGAAAATAAGGCCCCGTTTACACTAGTGCGTTTTAGTTTGAAAACGCATAAGTTTTGCTACGGTTATGCTATCCGTCCACACTACGCCGGAGTTCTCGAGCGCCGAAAACGGAGCGTTTCGAAAACGCTGGAGAGGCCGTTTTCATTCTGAAACGCTGCTGCTCCGTCTCAGTGTGGATGGGGAAAGACGGAGACATCTGAAAACGGAGGCGGGGCTGCAGACATTCGCCTCTCTGATTGGGGCTTTTCCTCAATATTAAGTAGCCTACACACACAGTTCAGTCCTGAATCTTCTCCGTGTAAGTTCAGACTTCGCAAGTTTGATCAAGGCTGCATCTCTTCTTCTCAGTTTGATATGGAAAACATACCGAGGACACGCGTCAATCTTCACAGGGAAAAGTGTACTTTATAACTTCATTCACATCACCTTGGCTATGTTGTTTCACTTTCTCAACAATAAAATGTAAACTTGATATAAGGAACTGCCTATTTTTATTTTAATATTAACAACTAAACAGACAGCAGAAATGTTGAGGCGTCGTGCTGCATGAGCGTCATCTTCACTGTGTGCATATTTATAACAAAACGGAGCCGAACTGCCTCTTTTCAATTTCAGTGAAAATACGAAACACACCCTCTCTTTTGCTGAATATCAGTTTTAATAATCGATAATGGCCATTATAAAAGTATAACATACAATAAGTTTATACATTATAGGAAATAAAGGCAAGCGATCAGTCAATATACAGAATGTAGGCTACGTGCTTACATTAATCATTAACTTATCTTTGCGCTCAGTCAAAACACGTTACCTGAGAACAAGTAATAGATTCCAGTGACCAAAGTCAGGGAATATGTCGTTAGATAAAGACAACAAGATGAATGAAATATCCCGTTTAATAAATATAGTGAGATTAGATCCAGCGGGAGATGCTTGATGAGAAGTCCGACTAGCAGAGCTCTCATCTGGGTAGATGGGCTCCAGCGATTGCCAAAGTGTGTGTGTGTGGTCACGTGATGTGCGTTTTCAGCGTTTTGGTGTGGACGGAGAGCTGTTCAGAAACGCTGGGTAAAACGCGAGTGTGGACGCGGATCGTTTTCATTCTAAAACGCTGTTTTAAAACTAATACGCACTAGTGTAAACGGGGCCTAAGTATTGAACACGTCACCTTTTTTGTCAGAAACCATATTTCTTAAGGTGCTGTTGACTTGAAATATTCCCTGCATGTTGGTGACAACCAAAGAAATCCATAAGTACAAAGAAAACAATCTAACTAGTTTACAAATGAAGTTATGCGTAATAAAATGACACAGGGAAAAAGTATTAAACACATAATGAGAGGGAGGTGTAGTTCAGCAGTGTAGTTCTTCAGCAATCCTCTGCCCTTCCTCAGTGTAAATGAATATCATCTGCTTCAGTCCAACATCTACACCAGCAGGAGGATGAAGATGAACCCAGAGTGGACATTTCAGCAAGACAATGACCCAAAACACAGCAAAGGAAACTCTCAAATGCTTTCAGAGAAAGAAAATCAAGCTGCAGAATGGCCCAGCCAATCACCCGATCTCAATCCAATACAAATAAAGCTCAAATTTGATAGATGAGACCCACAGAACCATCAAGATTTTGACCTGAGCAATGCATGGGACTTCATTCTCCATATGAGAAGCATCTTTAAGCTGAAATGTTTGCAATTTCTCTTGGATTATTGTATTATCTATCTGTGTGTGCTGCACAATAAGAGTTTCCCGCAGAAGCTCTTGCATGCTCAGTGTCTATAAATAAGACGTGAATGACAGTAATAATGTTAAAAGTGCATTTTACAGGACAGTGATGAGACTTTTAGGAAAAACACGCTCATTTGTTCCAATTCATGACCGAGATGAAACTTCATTTGAACCCATTTGGATCCCTAATGAGACACTATGAGTGAAACAAGATATTGAAGAAGTAAACAGCAGGACAGCGCTTGGACTTATCTGCGATGGCTCATGAAATCTGGGAAATACACACGACTGGTGTGTGTGTACTGCTGGAGAAATCAGCTCAAAATCAATCACAGACGAGCAGAGACGTTTATAGCGTGGACAGTGACCGTGGTAAGATGAGAGGGATGCGGATGTTCATCTTTATAGCAGCAATATTGTTTAAAGTCCATTTTATAGGAGCGTAATGGTGAAGAGTCCCAAAAGACAACAGAAAAGAGATGCTCAAATCAACAAGACTGCATTCACAGGCCATGTTAACCATTCACAATGCAGCATTTTGGAGTGAAGAGAGGGGTAAAACAATGAAGAAACAAACCATCATTTGCGATCCATTTTACATCCAGATGATGTGATTTTTCGAGCGAAACAGGATATTTAGGATGGGATAAACTTGTAGGACAGCACTGAGATTTATTATTAGTCATGAAAACGGGGGAATGCATACA